GGCTTTCTCTGAAGTCAAGAAATAATTGTGAGGGCAGTCCCTTTGTGAAGATATCAGCAAACTGAGAAGATGACGGAACATGCAGGACTTTGATCTGACCGAGCGCCACCTTATCACGCACAAAGTGTATGTCAACCTCGACGTGCTTGGTGCGCTGATGCTGCACCGGGTTTGACGAAAGGTAGACCGCACTGACATTATCACAAAAGACAAGTGTGGCGCGACGGAGTGGCTGCTGGAGCTCAATGAGAAGGTTTCGGATCCAGCTGGTTTCAGCAACAGCATTTGCTACAGCCCGGTATTCCGCCTCGGCGCTGGAGCGAGAAGTAATGGCCTGGCGCTTAGACGACCATGAGACAAGGTTGTCGCCGAGGAAAACGCAGTAGCCCGAAGTAGAACGTCCCGTATCAGGACAGCCAGCCCAATCAGCGTCTGAATAAGCCTGTAGGTAGTCGGTGGCGGATCTTGTCAAGTAAATGCCATGAGTGGCAGTGCCACTGAGATACTGGAGAACACGCTTCATGGCTGTAAAGTGGGCATCGTGCGGGGCATGGAGGTGTAGGCAGAGCTGCTGGACTGCATATGTGATGTCAGGATGAGTGAATGTGAGGTACTGCAGCGCGCCAACAATGGATCGGTAAAGGGAGGGGTCGGAGAGCGCCGTGCTAGCTGACGCAGACAGCTTCGGCTTTGTATCCACCGGGGTTGAGATGGGCCGACAAGAAACCATCCCTGCCCTCTCAAGGATGTCGTGCGCGAAATGAGTCTGGTGGAGGAAGAGGCCAGAAGCTGTGCGGTGAACATTAATCCCGAGGAAAAAGTGCAGATCGCCCATATCTGTCATGGAGAACTCAGCCTTGAGCTGCTGAATGAGACTCTGTAGTAGTGCTGGCGAGGATGCTGTGAGAACTATATCATCCACATAAAGTAGTAGATAGGCCGTGCCCATGGGCTGAGAGAAGACGAATAGAGAAGTGTCGGCCTTACATCCTCTAAACCCAATAGTCTGTATGAAGCCAGCAAACCTGTGAAACCATGATCGGGGTGCTTGCTTGAGACCATATAGAGCCTTCTTGAGCTTGCACACATAGTGAGGGCGAGTGGGATCCTGAAACCCAGAAGGCTGACAGGCATAGACGGTCTCCTGCAGCTGGCCATGAAGGAACGCATTCTTGACATCAAGCTGATGAATGGGCCAACCTCGAGACAGAGCAAGACTGAGGACAACACGAACAGTGGCAGGCTTGACAACGGGGCTGAAAGTCTCGTCATAATCAACGCCAAAACGTTGGTTGAAACCACGAACCACCCAGCGGGCCTTGTACCTGGATAACTCACCGGTTGGGCCAAATTTATGTCTAA